ACCTAGCCTTCTTAGATAAATGCATTCACCTATTATTAGCTAATAGGTCTATGGATAAAGGCAACAAAATCTTGAAGATCTCCTGTGCAAGTTGTGCACATCAAAGATCCCTTGTTGTCCTAATATCGATAAGAGTAGACTTCAGCTGCCACCTGAGAAAAAAAGAAAATGAATTCCTACCAAACTGAAAAGGCTGAATGTGTCTTGACTTGGGAGCTCATATGACCATATGTAGTTGCAAGCACCGTAAAACACTTAACAACCCCTCCCCCACCCCAATAAAAACCCATCTAAATTTCAAATTGATGAAAAAATATGAATGACTAGACAATAAATACACAGGCAGTATTGCATACAGACGTAAATCATTTTTGGCGGCCTTTGAGATACGTCTGTATGCAATACTGCTCACGAATAGCACAGCGGAGGGAAATAAACATACGTGAATAATTAAATCTGATTATTCATCTTTCTATAACATTTACATAATCAAATACACAAACATTTGAACAAATCAAATACATATATAGCTTTCTGAAAGAAAAAACCCCCTGAAAAATATGGACTGCTTTCATTTATCAAGAAAAAATGTAGTCAATAAATCAAAATGCTGTAAGCTTGTTATAAAACAAAATTGTCACAAGGTATACAACTCTCAGAATATAATATATCATGGACAGATGAAAATTAGTTTTTAAAAAGATCAGATGCTTAAAATAAAATATTATGATTGCAATAATTGTGAAAGTGAAAATGTATGTTTGTTATCCCAAAACAATGTTAAAAAGTACAAGTCTTCCAGATTACGTGGGCATATTATTATTAACAATAATAACGTTAAAAGATGTTTTATTTATGAACACGATTAGGGAAAATTAAAGCGAAACTGATAGAATGTTCTAGATTATTATGCTCCCATATTGTGGACGGAAGAAATAGATGTAATTGTACAAAGGTATTGTGCCAGGAAAAATCTTGACTAGATCTAAGTGTTCATCAAACTACAAGTACTTGACATATATTACTTTTTATTGAGCAGTTACGGACGACTAAATCCCAGTAAATCTGGCCGTAGAATAAAACACACACACTGTGCAGAATGCTTCTAAGCACTCTTTTTCAAGATTAAAATGAATACAGTACTATAACAAAGCTGTAAGATTAGTGGTGCTGCAAGCAGGAGACCTGGGTTTAATTCCCTGGCCTGGAAGTTATTTGGTCGCTTTTAAGCACAAGGTAGCTATCTAGAATAATGCTGTTTTGAGAAAATCGAAGGTAAAGTTTTTGCCCCTTGTTCAGTTTTTTTAAAAGACAAGGAGAGTCTTCTCTATAGCCAAACAAATATACACACCAATGAAACCAAACTTCTCCTATAGGTAGGGCAATACCCACTTTTGGTGCAGGTCAAGATTAATGGTAACCTCAGAAATCTGGGTTAGCCCGCTTGTCCTTAAAAGCGACTATTTGATCAACTATCTCCTCCTTCTCCGGGGATGTTGCATCCCTTTCAGCAAAAGTTTACCTTACCAGACAGTGAGGGAGCAGCCTGCCTCTTGAATGATCAAAATAAAGTCAATGGCAGCGTAAAACCAACATGCTAAAATTAAAAAAATTAAAAAGCCGTAAGTTAGAAACTGTCCGTCCCTGAATACAAACTCTGCATAGCAAATTTACCTGGAGTCGAGCAGGTAAAAAAGCAGTAATAAAAATAATTTAAAGTACAGACCTATCCTAAGACAGATTGTACTACAAGTGCCCTATAAAAACAATAGTAAGTTTAAAAAAGAACTCCTGAATGCTAAGCAGATACCCAGTACAGTCAACACATACAGTTATGAAACTTCCAATGAGGCTACTATAAATAGAATTAAAAAACCCAGCTTGTACTGTACATAATTTAAAAAAAACACTGTACATTTGTGAGAGTACAATGTCATTATCACAAGTAAAACATGTTATTCTAATTAATCTCACTTTACAGCGAAAGTGATACAAAAATGGGAGTTGCCCATTTCTTTTTTTGTTGTAAAAGTGGTGATGATATTATGACAATCAGAAGGAAAAAGTCTCCCAGCATAATAAGCACACATAGTCTGATCCACTTCTACTTTCTGCCTCAGGCTACAAGTGTAGTGTAAGAAACACTTACAACTCTTTGGGCAGAAAAAAACATCTCATTAATTTTTGGCGTGACTGTCAAAAGGACTTAAAAGTCAAAGACAAATATGTGAGGCAGCGTAGTGAAATCAGGCGCTCGGTAAAATAAATAAAGTCAGGAAACTGCAATTTTTCCGCAGGGTTGAGAAATTTGATTAAATTCTTGTTTTTTGCCTCAGCATCTTTCATGCCCATAAATTAAAGAACACATTTCTGTGTGGATTTTACTTTAAAACGTTGCTTAAAGGCAGAAAAGATGTAAATTTTCAGTTTCCAAGGACTCTCAAGCTAAGGAAATAACTCCACTTTGACAGCCATTTTCTCGCTAATTTTACATCTGAAACCAGACGACCCCCACCTCCTTCAATTGCCAATATCTTGACTTGTATTCAAGATAAAAGGATATTTTTTTAACATCAAAAGCAAGGCAAATAGACAGACTTTAAGATGGTACCAATAACTCCGTATGCCCCAAAATTGACGAGCGCCTGATTCCACCATGCAGTGACACATATGTGTGGATTGTTAGTCACAAAACGTCCCCCAGCACCGTGTTTGTTCTCATAGCGTGAGCAAAACTTCTGGCAAAGATGGCATGAAAACAACGGCAACAGATATATCTTTATAAAGCACCCAGATAGTTGAGTTTCTTGGCATACATACATACACACACACATATATAATATATATAAAGATCTACAGGCATAAGACTTGGCACAGGAAAGCTAAAAGCTCTTTTAGCATTCGCTGATAAAGCTGTTTAGTTTAGTTGTAGAAAGAGTTTAATAGCACTTGCAACACAATTAGGTCATATTATAAATGCCCAAGATTAAAGGTGTTATCAGCAGGTATCATACAAAAAAAAGAAAGTAGAGAAAAAAGGATGATAGACGTTCAATAGGAAAGAAGGAGAAGACCACACTAGAGCACCCGCCAACCACATATAAATCTGTAAGTCTGTATAACATATCATCACATGAAGTAAGAACCTGCCATCACAATTAAGTAAGTATAATAAACAGTCTAACATGCACATTGACAAAACTGCGGATTGAAATCTTTCTGCTGTGTACATATTTTAAAAATACATGTACAAAGAGGTAGCCTAAATATAAAAATAAAAGAATAAAATCATGGCCTAAAATCTGTTTGTAATGTGTACATTTAGTAAGCGCGTGCTACACTGTATAAATGTACAGTGCAAAGTTTTTAAAAATCAACTTTAGTTTTCAGACAATAATAATAAAACATCTGGGCTCTTTTTATCAATACTTTCAGACATTGATAGAAGTAAAATATGCGAAAAAATGCAGACTAGAATCACAAGTTATAACTAGATCTACTGTAAGTCAGAAATGGAAGATCTTTGGGAAAAAAAAAAAGACAGAATGAGTTTCTGAATGCAAAACCTGATGAGATTCTAATTTTTTAAAAGCATAAGGTATATAGACTCTGCTTAATTTGCCGTTAACACTTGAACATAAAAATGCTACAGTCTGGAAGAGCAAATCAATAGTTAATAAAATAAAGCCTAACCAGATTATAACATTCAATTCCTTTTTTTTCCTTCATGTATCATTATTCATCATGTATTCCTGCAGCTTTAATAAAAAAGGACCTCGTAGCCAATCAGCTCCACTGTGGGACTTGACAACCCTCAGGTAAACATTCTCCCAGCAAAGTGACGTTAAGTTGCCACATGTGGGTGGTTGGAGGGTGCCACTAGCAGGTCCTACTTATTTACTATTCTTTTTGGTTTCTGTCTATCTGTCTGTCTTGTTCTTTCCCCATTACTTTTTGTAGAGCATCTGAGAAAAATAATGGATTGAGAATCATGATCGCCAATGTCTGTCGCAAATATCTGGCACTTGACGATGATGATCCACAGCATTCAAACTGCCTACTGTCATTATGTCGATGTGCTTATCTTTCCTCAAACAAAACAAACACGCTCAGACAAAACCAGTCAGGAATGTGCTAGAAGATTCGACAAACTCAAGCTAAGCTCACGAAATGAGGCAACCAATGGCCTTGAACACTTACAGCTAGTGGTGTAAGGGTCACGCTCTTTGCTCTTTGTCATTGCACGTAGAAGACATCAGTTCAATTTTGTAAATAAAAGTCTATTTCATTGAGTTCTCAGTCTATATTTCTGCTGGGACACTGTAACCCACATAGGGTCAATGGGGAAAAAACATTTGGTCACTTTTAAGCACAAGGGGGCTATCCTGAAAAATGTTGTTTTGAGAAAATCGAAGGTAAAGTTTGTGCCCCTTGTTCAGTTTCTTTGAAAGACAAGGAAAGTTTTCTCTATAGCCAAATAAATATACACACCAATGTAACCAAACTTCTCTTATAGGTAGGGCAATGCTCATTTTTGGTGTACGTCAAGATTTCTGGAAACCCCAGAAATCTGGGTTAGCCTGCTTATCCATAAAAGTGACCATTTACAATCATACGATCATTCAATAAGCACCGTGTGCTCTCCCATCAACACCTCACGGTGGTAGCAATTAAAGACACACCACAGACGGTCAGTATCAACTCTCACACGACAAATTCATGAACAAAAGTTTCCACGACAAAATCTATTGCTGTCATATCATTATTATAGAGATTAAAAGCATCTGATCATTCAGAGAAAAAAGGGAGATCATATCTGTGGCTTTCACCTTTTTGACACCACTCTGTCATTTGCGTACAAATTTCACAGTAAAAGAACTTCCTCTAAAAGGAACAGCCCGATGATCCAAAAGGCATTTTAGTCTATGGACTACAGAAAGTTCAATGCAGCTTCTGGCAGTCTTGCTGACAAGTTTTAAACTTCATTTCAAAGTTGTAGACAAAAACACTTGAAACCTTTGTTGTGTGCACAATACTTGATGTTGCCCAGGCTCGCCCAGACTCTACCCCCAGCGGTTGCCCGGAGGTTTGAGTTTGAGATCAATGGTTTAGATTATATTTGTGTGCATTTTGGGACGGAGCCCAAGAGCTATAATATGTAATAAGGCACATATCAAAGGGAGCCAGATTATTTTTCGTACGCCTTTCCACTTGAAAGCCAGATTTAGCTTAGAATTTGGCAGTGTTCTGTAGCCTATCCGTTGGCTCGTATATTTTCTCCTGCAGAGACACAGGGATTGGCAAAATGTCCTTTCTCACTTTACAAGCTTGTTGGCAGGCCTGAAGGACATACTATATGAAACAATAGGTAATGCAGATATACATCTTACAATTTTTACATCTCAAGTTTAAGTACATTTTATACAGTTTTGTTTTATGTTATTTGCCAGCACAATACAGTAAGAATAGAGAAAGTATGATTTGTAGACAAAAGAATCATTCCATTGCGAAAATTGTATATGTTACCATACTTCTTTTCTTTCTCTCTGTTGTTTCTGCACTTGTGCCTTGGTTTTGCCCTACACTGGACGGCCATTGTGTTTCTCAGCTTCTCTCTTCACGGAAAACAGACGCACAAAACAACCAGACAATGGGAAACAGCTGTTGGCGTCTCAAACATCAACACTGACTCGATCGTGAGAATTATGGCAGGATGTGCTTCTTGCATCATTCTGTCACGCTGTCGACCCGACGACTGCGACATAGAAGCATCGCTGCTAGTTGTGGCAAGTGGTGGCGGCTGTGATCAATATAACCTGTGTGCTATTACTTCCTGAATGTTTCACTCTTCATCATGCTATTATCTGTGGTAGCTAGCACGACGTCTTTTATCTTCACTTCTTCCTTGGATGTTAATAGGGTTATCATCATTTCATGATGGAGAAACTATTATCATTTGATTACGAGTACTGCACTTATAATGGTACACATTCTACGCCCCTTCCTCGTGATTTCTCCAAATCTCATACAGGATAAGCCGCTCCTTCGTCTCTCACGGAAAAATTTGGCATGCTCATCGCCCGTGACTTCCTCTCCTCCCCTCGGTTGCTCTGCATCTCAATATCCTCTGCCTCGGCAGACGACGACGGAACCACTTTGCCAGGCGGTTTCAGTCTTAACGCGGAGAAATTTGCCAAACTGGGCGTTCGTTTGGCGACCCACTCCGCTAGGGATTCCTGGCTCGGTCGCTCGTCCAGAGTCTTTTTCACACACGACCTCATGATGTAGGGCAGGTCCTCCACACGTGGGTCGCGGCTCATCGCGTCACGGAACAGGGAGATAATCTGCGTGCACTCCGGGCCCGTCACTTTGTAGCACAGCTCCTCCAGCTCCAACCGCTCCATCTGAGGCATCTCGTAGATCTTGGGGTTCGATTCCATGAGCCAGCTGTAGTCCACACCTGTCAAGTACAAACCACAAGTTATGGAAGGTGTGGCATGATATCATTCGTCAATAATACAACAAATGTGAGGCAGCCTGGTGAAAGCGGGCGCTCGTCAAAATACCAAAATACGATGAACAGGCATTTTTCCATCATCGGTAGTTTGGAAAATTTTCTAGAATTTTTATTTTTCAGCACAGCCTCTTTCAGGTCCATACACATTTCAATGTGAATTTTACTGAAAAGCATTGATTAAAGGCATACAATATGTCATTTTTCAGTTTTCAAAGACTCTTTAGCTATTGGAGTTACCAAACTTTGATGGCCATTATCTCGTTAATTTCACCACTGAAACCAGGCGACCTCACTTCCTTCAATTGCAAATAAATATCTTGAGTTCTATTCAAGATAAATATTTCTTTCATCTGTAGCAAGGCAATTGAACAAGCTTTAAAGTGATACCAATAACTCTACATGCCCAAAAATTGACGAGCGCCTGATTCCACTGCGTCAAGAAACATACTGTTTGTCAGTAATACAACAAATAGACATCAAAGCCAGTTACCACACTGGATTTAAAATAAAATCACAGGACGCACACACTTTGATTCCATAATCCAGCTGTAGTCCACACCTGTGAATTACAAACCACAAGTTATCCAGAGTCTGGAATAATATGTGAGGCAGCGTGGCGAAATCAGGCGCTTGTCAAAATACGGTAATGAAAGTAAACAAACTGACTCTTTTCCGCTGGTTTAGCAATTTTTATAGCAATTTTAATTTTTGGCTCAACACCTGCTATGCCCATTTAAGAAACCATTTCAGGGTGAATTATACTGTAAAACTTTGATTAGAGACACAAACAAATGTAATTTGTCAGTTCCCACGGACTCTGAGGCTTTGTAAATAACCAAACTTTGGTAGCAATTTTCTCACTAATTTATCTAAAACCATGCGACCCCACCTCATTTAAAATATCTCGACATGTACTCAAGATAAATGTGTTATTCTTGCATCGGAAGAAAGGCAGCTGAACAAGCTTTAAGGTGATACCAATCACTCTACAAGCCCAAAAATTGACCAGCACCTGATTCCACTGCATCGTGAAACATATTATTTGTCAGCAATACTACTCCCACATCCTCTCTCCCCCTCCCACCCCACCTGTCTTCAT